TAAAAGACATTGTATGATATCTTCTAGTATTAGAAACTTTAAAAAGTATATTTCCATTTTCTGTTGACTTTAAAAAAAAAGAGGTTTGTACCTATGTTATTTGCTTATTATTTCTTGCCTATATCTTGTAATATGAGAAACTACTTTGGCAGTAACAATACACAATGTACTAACCATTGTTACTCTCCTAAGATCTTGTTTTGAGATTTTGTGCCATTGTTTTTATTTTTTTTCTTTAAAATAAAAATAACTGATGTCAAAAAAAAAAAAAGTTAAAAGAAAAAACCAAACTCTCCTTGGCCAAAAAAGGGAACTGGAGCTTCAGTAAGGACAACGGATAAAATGGATCAAAAGAAAATGAACACCCAGATGTGGTAACACACGCCTATAATCCCAACACTTGGGAAGTTCAAGCAGAAGAATTACAACTTTAAGACCAAGCTGAGCAACTTACCAAGATCTTGTATCGAAATTAAAAACAGCTATTGAGGAGCTCAAGGCAAAGGCCCTAGATTCAATTTCCAAAGTGTATGTGTGGGAGAAGAGTACACATCAAATATACCCCTAGTCACTCAATGCCTTGTATATAATGGGAAAGCAATAGTAATAACTTCAAAAACAACAGAAAGGAACCACCAAACAGCGCAAGCAATTAAAAGGAGGGGAAAATACACAACCTATAGCAGGAAAATAACATTACAAAGATAAGGCGATACATATCAGTTACAATCATTGATGTAAATGGCCTCAATTCAACAATCAAAAGAAACAGACTAGCACAGTGAATCAAAAAACAAAATCAAACAATATGCTGTATGTAAATAACACATTTATAAGGAAATTCACAAAATGAAAATTGAAGGATGGGAAACAATACTCCTTGTGACAGGAACCCAGTAAAAAGCAGGGATAGCTATTCTGGTTACTGACAATATCAACTTAAACCAAGAACGACTAAAAGAGACAAAGACGGCCACTACCTATTTGTCAGAAGAAAATTGCAAGAGGAAGAGGTAACAATTATAAACTATATGCATCCAATGTAGGAGCACCCAACTGTATTAGGCAAATTGTAACAAACATGAAAAACTAAATGAGCAAAAATACAATTGTAATGGAGGACTTCAATATACCACTGTCACAAAGAAATAGATCAATGAGGCAAAAAAATCAGCAAAGAAAAAATAGAACTAAATCAAACTTGTGAAGAAATGGACTTAGTAGCCCTTTACACAGAGTGTGCCATCCTGCAACATCAGAATATACATTCTTCTCAGCTGCATATGAGACATTCTCCAAAATATACTATATACTAGCACATAGAACAAGCTTAACTAAATGCAAAGAAACTGAAATTATCCCATGTATACTATTGGACCATAGTGCATAGAAACTAGAAATTACTGACAAAAGAAAAAATTCGAATTCAAGCAATAAGGAATGAAAAAGGACAAAATCAGTACACAGACCCTATAGAAATTCAAAAGATTATCAATACCTATACTTCCAAAATCTCTACTCTCACAAGATGAAAAATACAGAAGAAATGGACAGATTCCTATACACATGACTTGCCAAAACTGAGTTAAGAAGATATAAAAACTCTCAATAATCCAATAACAAGAAATGAAATTGAAAATGTAATAATAAAACTAATAACAAAGAAAAGCCCAGGTCCCGATGGATTCACACCAGAATTCTACAAGAAATTTAGAGATTTTTATGAAACTCTTCTCAAGCTCTTTCATGAAACTGAAAAGGAAGCAATGCTTCCAAACTCATTCCTGGAGCCAAGCATTATTTTGATACCAAAATCAGAGAAAGACTCAACCAAAAAAAAAAAAAAAAAAAAAAAAAAAAAAAAAAAAAAAAAAAAAAAAAAAAAAAAAGAACTACAGGCCAATCTCTCTAGTTAACATAAAAGCAAAAATCTTCAACAAAACAGAATGAAGCAAATCATCAAAAAGATTATACATCAAGACAAAGTGGGAATTCATCCAAGGAATGCAGGGATGATTCAACATAAATGTAATGC